AAAAAAAAAAAAAAAAAAAAAAAAAAAAAAAAAAAAAAAAAAAAAACCACGAACGATCAGTAGTCGGCAGCGATCGAAGGACTGGAACTGCGGCTCATCGTCTCCTCGATTCTCTAAACCCCCAGGGTGCGAGCCAGCTTCTCGATGCTACGTGGAAAGGCGCTCGTTATGGCCGCATGCTGGGGCCCGATGATCGCGTCTCCCATCACCCCGAGTCTCACCGCTTTGCCGTGCCGGTGCAGCGTCATCGACAAGCCTGCACCCACGAGGATGATGATTGTACATCAGGTAAAGGACGTTTTTTCATTTTGCAACACATATACGTACAGCAGTTGCCTTGGGGGGGCTTCCAGAAAACTGCCGAGTGGACACCGTCGACCGGCAAGTCGCCGTCGACGTGGGTCAACGATATGCGGTATCTCCTGGTCAGGTGGTTCAGGACAACCTTGAGAAAGACATAGGGCAGACAGGAGGTCAAGAAGCCAGAGGCGGTCTCCACCGCGGTTATCCCGTAGATGGCGCGTTGCTTGCGCCTGGCCTCCCCGACGTTGCTCTGGACGACCTGGAGTATCTCGACGAGGTCGTCGTCAAAGTGCGGCGTCTGAGTCGGCAGGGCGAGGCACAGCAAGCCGTTGGCCTCGCCGCTCGCGACGTACAACGACCGCTGACTGGCGAACTTGACCGTCGCCAGGACCTCGTTGGGTATCGTTTGTCCGGAACACCTGACGAGGCGATTACGTACAAAATTGTACACTCTCTCGCATAATATATATATATACCTTTACACGCGATGTACAAAAAGTGCCGGTGAATACGCATGTGTATGTATAACCGACCTGAAGTACTCCCTGAGCGAGTCGACGCTGGCGGCGAGGAGGATCTCGGCGTCGCACGCCCCGCTGACGGCTGCGATCTTTTGCAGGAGCCCGAGCTCGATCTCCTCGGACCAGGCCACGACCTTCCTCCCGCTCTGCGAGACGCTGCGAAAGTCCTCGGTGGAGGTGCGGGACCGAAAGAGTTCCTCCGCTATGGCGAACGGAGCGCTAACCGCCATGGCCAGGATCGAGAAGACCTCCAGGATCGCCTGACGCGCAAAATCGGCAAATCAAAGGATCGAGATGCACGAATCACCTACAGGTGTATGCTGATGACAAACTCACCCTGAACACGAGGGGCAGGTAGCAAGAAAGAATGGAGACGAGGCTGTCCGGGTAGTAGTGGTGCTCGTGGAGGAGGCTGGCGGCGCGGATCTCGCGCCAGACGAGGATCGGTACCTTGAGGCTCGCGCAGATCGCCAAGTACCAGAGCCAGGCGGCGGTGGTTCGCAGGATTTCCACGGGATTCAGGAGATTCAGGATGGCTTGGAAAATCACCGGCCACGCAAAGTGACGCTTGTGCGCCTCCCGGACGTAAATCGGCCACAGGTCGCGCGCTCCCAGGCCCTCTTTGCGATGGTATTGCCTATACGTATACGCGTGACGGTGAGCATGAGTTGTAAGCCATAATAAAAGTGAGGGCACACTCACCTGGTGATCTCCTTGGCGGTGGAGAAGCACACGATGACGGCTATCTTGGCGCACTGCCACAGGCTGATGCGTCTCTTGAATATCTCGGGCCGCTCGGTCGGCTCGTTGTTGCAGAGAAACTCGTTCCAGACGTTGCTGAAGCTCTCGGTGAGCTTCTGGTGCAGCTTTGGTAGGGCGGACGGCTCGGCGTACATGTTGGCGAAGGGCGAGGCGAGGACGCGCTCCCGGCTGGCCGAGCACGAGGACCAGCGCGCCCGCTCGAGCGGCAAAAAATCCCCGAGGACCATGCGCTCTTGGCGAAGGACCAGGTGGTGCGCCCGTACCAGGCAGTACCGGCCCAGGATCACGTGGACCTGCCAGGGCGAGTGGTTCGCTGCCAGGTACTTTGACGTCGCGTCGCTCACGTAGTCCTGGGGAGAAGCATTTTTCCTTTTTTTTTTTTTTTTTTTTCTCACATTACAATTCTCACGACGTATAAGTACGTAATGCTTGGGGAACAGATAAGACATTTTGTGCATATATACAGTAGTATACATATGATGGCTGTGATCTGCGATTTGTTTTTTTACCGATATTATCAAATAATTTTATGTATAATATCAATTACTGAGCTTTTCAATCCTTAAAATGTTGAGAGAATATCCTCTGTATGAGTAGAAAAGCTCGTCTGTGAGAAAAACGGAACAGAGAGTGTTATATAGGGTTTGCAGTGAGGTTTCCGGGGGTAGGTATACCTGAACGTTGAGCTCAGTGATGGGCCTGCCCTTGAAAAGGCCAGGTGAGACGATGAGGTGATTGTCCACGGAGAAGTTCTCGAGCTCGTCCCAAGTGTAGCGGTACGCCTTGGTCGTGAGTGCCATGCGCAGTAGTGGCTTTGCACCAGCCAGATGTACCAAGTGATTCCTCAGGTGTTCGGTCACCATCGACGGCCAATCGACCAGCAGCGTGTAAATACCCTGTACGATGATAAAATTAAATGTGCAGTGCGCGACCATGGATAACACGATGACGATAATAATCGGCAAATTATACTTGATTTCTGCCCTGGTCCAGTATACTGCGGATACTGCTCTCCTCGACGACGATGCTCCTCGGGTACTTCCATTTGACGAAGCGCACCCAGCAACGCCTTGTCCATTGACAAACTGTCGGTATTTTGCCGAAGTTGAACCACACATAATAAATAAAAATAATAAAAGCAAGCGAGGAAATTAAACGGCACCGTGTGGATATCGAATTACGTAAGTTTGGATGAAAATATATCAGAAATACTTGCTGTATTTTTCTTGGAAAATGATTATTTATAGCTTTTATTACGTGGCTGCTTTATTTTATCATCAGTTGCGTGTATTATCGCACCCATCGTGCACGTACAAAGTCAATATTAAAATTTTCCGTAGGGAATTCGAGATCGAAGATGAGTGGAACAGTTATCGGTGAGTGAAGAAAAAAAAAAAAAAAAAAAAAAAAAAACGATTCGACGAAGATTACAAATTCATGTGGAGAGTATCTCATTTCCGATCACCACGAGATCGAGGACTAAAGGTACCTGGATAACTGAGCAGCAGAGTCGGCAAGAGAACGAGGGTAAATACCACAGCGACGAGGGTGTCGACGCCGAAAAAGCCGGCCCAGACACCTCGCAGCACCACCTCCATCCTCGCGCACCACCTTCGTCCGTGAACTTGGACTATTTATTATTTTTTTGCATTCGGCATAATTAAGCTCGCTTATTTCGTCCCAACGATCGGTCACGAATAATATACCGAGGGAACTAATCTCGGGCGCAGAGAAAGACCGACTGCGACCCTTGATCTCCTCCTCCGCTCTTCGGTGCGCAGAGATTGCGCGAGAGCCACGTAATGGTTTTATCGCAATTTTTGTTTCATTTTATTTTTCTTATTCGCCGTCTTCGAGTGATTGATCAATGTTTTTTTTTTAAAGACTGTTTTGCTCCAACGAAAGCCATTTGTAGGCGCTTTATTTTAAAGTACGAAAACTCAACGTGATGTTGGGCCCTATGCTTTGGCTCGATAAGCCCTTCTAAGCTGCGTGGAAAAAAAAAAGTACGGGGCAGTGTAAGATATTTGGTCGTTTATTGATTAAATATTTGAAACTTGTGAGCAGCAGCAGCACAAGTACAATGATTTTTTTAAATCGTTTGAATGCTCGCAAGATTTTGCAAGAAATAACAAAACAAAAAAAAAACAAAAAAAAAACTAGTTGTAAAATAAAACACAAGGCAACGTAACGACGATGGAACGTATTCCGTCATAAGTTTTTGAAATTTTTTTAAAGATTTAAGAAATTTAAAAATACAAAAAAACAATTTTCATTGCTTTAAACTAGAAGTAAGTAAAACAGTGCTACATCCTAAATTGATCGTTGTACACGAACAATCAATGATTACTAAAGAAATATAATAGCAATGCATACATAACGTTTAAATGGTAATTTTTTCATTGGATTTCCATTGTAATCTATATTACAAGCCACAAGCTTTCTTGTGAGATCGAAATTTTGGTATGTCAAAGATGATCAACAAGACTCGATTCTTTTATCTCGTAACGCTTATTAGATTCACAAATGGCGAATCAGCTGTTGGCCATTAGTTGTTGACTCGATCCCAGTAAAAAAATAAAAACTGCTTTGAAAATAAAATCTGTGGAACGTGAGGAACAATCTATCGTAGTAATGGCTTGAGAGTTGAAGGAACGCAGAACAGCATGTAATCACGCTGAAGCTGCTGCTTCGTGTTTTAAGACAGAATTGGCAAGGCGACGATGAATACATGGTTTCTCGACGTTGCAGTTGCGACTACTACAACGAAGATGACCCGGCAGCCGCTTCATTCCATATATGTTCCAGTTCATTTTTAAAATATTTGCAACGGCCTTTAATTATATAAAAACATACTCAACATTAGTACTGATTGAATAACACTTGAATTTCTGCAATTCAACAAATAATACTTACCAGTATTTTATGAAATTCCACTGACTTATAACTTAGTCTAGACTCAGGAGCTAAAGTGAAAGGTTCTTCATAATCTGAAAGATAAACGGTAAAACAATTAATAAACTACGTGTATCATTCGTATTAAATACATTCATTCGCAGTAAAAAATAAAATACACAAGCCCTATGGACATACCCGAGTAATAAAGATTTGTTCTCAAGTTCGTAATACGATTGACAAATCTTTCTCTTCTCGACAATACCGATGCTCTATTACTATTGTTACTATTGGCTGTGTCTCGCAAGTTCTTCCATATTTCTAATCGAATTCTATTGATTCGTTGTAGAGCCAAAGCAGCTCTCTCCGGCATTATTGGCACTGGAGCTGCAGCATTTGAATTGCTGTTACTACTTATAGTCGTGTGCCATGGCGACGTCAAACATGGCTCGGAACGAGGTTCGTTACTAGTTAATATACTGTTCGACGTATATGACGATGACGTTGATGACGCTTGAGATGAAAGAAAAAAAATTTATGAAATTTTTTCTTAATAAAAAAATTGCATTAATGGCGATGCAATAATACTGTACCTGATGGTCGGTTTGGCGGCTGAGACACAGGTTGATAGTGGTTTTGAAAAATATTTTCAAAGTAGGACAGACTAAAATCAGGTGAAACTCCAGAAGAACCAATCGTAGGATTATTACTCGGCCGTGAATTTTCTGCAGCCGTCTCGTCTCTAGGCCATGTCACATGACTGTCGTTTTCTGGGGCTACAACGTTACTGCTACTATTTTGATTGATACTCTGACTGTCAACATAAGGATAGTTCAACAACGAATGTGCCCTATCTCGCAAATTTGTCAGATTAGGTGAAATCGCTGTACAATAATAAGTGTTATTATTCAAGTATATTTGACAATTTTTTATATGTTAAATAGATAAAATGATGTAAATCATACCTTTTTGTTCATTTGCAAGTGAAGCACATCTACTAACTATAACGTTCATATACTCTTGTGCCGAACTTGCAGTGTTAAATACTTCTTTCTCAATTTCATTAATGATCTGTTTACATCTTCGAATGTGGTGAGTTTTCCTCAAGTTTGTAACCCTGTTGAGAAAATTATTTTTTTACATCCTAACTTTCTCTGCATAAGTTTAAAAAAAAAAAAAAACACCACTATTTACATTCTGTGAACCATCATCTTTCTTCGAGCGCAAGTTACATTATTTTGCCATGATTTGGACCGTGCTTGACTTGTAGCTGTGTGTGGTGCTTGTGAATTTGTCATAGAGCTGGTAGAAACTACCGACTCAGGTAATGGTTGTTCATGTAAAGTAGTAGTTGCAGTGGATCTAGGTACCTGATCAAACCAACCACGTAACCGCCAACTTAACTGATCTAATCTTGGATAAGAAGCAGTGGTGAAGGGAGTTTTACTCGAGTCTTGCTGATCGTTGAAGTGATTGTGCTGCATTTCTTGACCTGAAAATTAAAAATTTGTCTGAGAGTATGTCTACATTGATGGAAAAAAAAAAAAAAAATACTAGACAAATCCTACTTTTAGGAACATTAGGAATTGACGCTGCAATTGGTTGAGTATCACTTGGTAGGGACTGCGACTGCTGCAGTGCTTCAAAAAGTTCAACCTTCCAAGGTTGTACCGAGTTATAGGATTCTGGTGATTCTATTGGAGACTTTTGTTTGGCGTCTGAACTTGTCGGACTAACCATTTGAGTTTCTGTAATATTAAAATACATTTATCGCAAAAAACAACCAAGATAACGAATTCTGCATGTTATTTTGTGTCATTAATAATTGATTATTAAAAACTTTGTTCTCTTTGTTAAACTAATATAGAAACAAAGCATCTATCCACCAAAATAAACACGTAGTTGTAGTACTTGCACCAAACATCATAGCTAGATGTATTTGGTAAACAAATGACGCGCATGATTCATCAAGAAGCTATGGAGATAAAAAAAAATAAAAATCACCATTGGCAGTGTCAATAGGAGCAAAGGTTCTGTCATCTCTGCTGGCCGCGGATGACGAAACGTGCCGCCAGGGTGTCGGAGACGATAAGAGCGATGACGACGATGAAAAAGACGAGGGCTGGGAAGTTCTCCACGACATTTCGTAAGGACGCATCGCTCGTTCCCTATGGCGATTCCAGCTCCACGATCTCATTGGATCGTATGTATAAGAATTGTAAATTTGTCGTGGACGTGATCGGGATGCACTTTCGTGCTGTTCTTCGTCCATTCTAATAACCAAGTACTAATTAAACGCAACGTTTGAATAATCTATACGTACGTAAACCTCAAAATGTGTAAGTAAGTATTTACTCGACAGTTGCTGCGAACTGTACGGAAGCCCGGTCACGACATCTGCATAAAAACGCATAAGCACGCACAAGTATGAGTGCACAAAAACATGTACGACTGTATACTGTGTAGTATATAGTATACACTATACAGTGTATGTATACGAGTGCACACGAAAGTGCGGACACAACAAGTTGCAAACAAGTACATTGTTTTCAAGTTTTATAGTACAACATGCATGCATGGCAAGGAACTGCACTGCACCAACTGTAAAATTTAAAAACATTTTTGTTTGGTTTTTAATAATTTTAAATTATTCATTACACGACAGCAAAGGTAGAAAAACCTGATATTTTGATTGTAAATATAACCTACGTATACCTATACGTATACGTAACTCAACTGCTGGCAGCATTTGCGGAATACAGCTGCAGTCGAGCTGTCTGCTGTGCAACTTGTTTTGTTTTTGTTTTGTAAACAAACTCCGATTCGGAGATTCGTTAAAAATAACGAATACAATTATTAATTAATAATTATTATAGTGCTTCTGAATGTAAATAGTTTTTCTAAGTAGTATATATAAGTTTACATACCTTGTTTGGAAACAAATTTTGGTTATGCTAGTATGCCTTAATAAGTTTCAAAAAATGTTTCATTGTCTGGAAACAGGAACTGTATTATTAACATCTAATAAGAGTTGCCTTAAGTTGAGAATCATTTGATTACCTTTGCATGCATTTACTGGTTAGTCTACCAAATTATTTATGATTTTTATTTATTATAAGTATCTTAAAGCATTTCTCACAAAGCGATGATGGATGATGATAATGTCGATCATGATGATGCTCTAAAAATACTGTAGTAGTAATGGGAAGGTGGACATTTTATTATTCTTTTTTTTTATTCACTTTTATTAATCAGCTTTATTTATTACTTATACTTTTGCCAGGAAAGAAAACAGCAAAACTTTCAAAACTCTAGGTTTCGTTTTTATTGTTAGTTATTTATATGAGCGATGTGTACGCATCCTTTTTGTTCGTTGCTCTATCGTGGCAAACTTTTTTTTTTTTTTTTTCACATTTTGTTTTTCATCTACAAAGTCATTTTTTATATCACAAGGTTCGTTTGAGTTTATAAGATTGATTTTTTTGTTTTCCTGTCTTCTTTAAATGCAATTATATCATTGTGTGTTCTCTTTGTTTTATTGTATCTTTTTTTTTTTTTTTTTTCCATTTGGTTGGATTACAGTCTAAGAAGTTTATAGCAAGCAATAACAGTTATACAAGCTTGACTGTTTTTTCTTTGTTATTTTTCTTAATTGACGGTTTGGTTGTTTTGTTTTTTGTGATAAGTTTGCAATTATACTGTAATAATTGTTGGAAAACAAATTTTATTTTGACACTATGTAAAATTAAAAGTGTTCTTATATTTAAAAAATAATACAAGTTTTACAAGTACACATACAGAATTCTATCTTCATCGTTTTTGTTTCCATTCTAATGCTATATATAATAATATTCGAACCACATAAAATCTTATAACGAATTGATGAGCATCCATTGGTTTTTTAATGACAAGATTTTCGTGAGCAATTTTTGTTTGTGTCGTAGTTGTAGATGTATTTTTGTGTGTATTAATTGCTTGTTCAGTAAATTTTTTGCATTCAAAGCACAATATTGATCTTAACAAAAAAAAAGACAAAAAATTGGGTCGATTAAATACGATTCATTTTTGAAAATTATCCATTTACAATTCAGGAATCATATACATAGTATGAAGCCAGTACAACCCTTAACAAATTGCATCAATTATATTTAATTCAAAAATAGCCTAATTGTACGGTTATAACTTTATATCACTTATCGAAATAAATTGTCAAACAAAAACTTAAAATTTTCATTTTCACCTAGAAAAAAAAACAAACAAAACACTCTGCAGGGTCTTACACTTTGCATTCGGTATGACCTCGAGACGTTGTGTGTCATATTGATTTAAATTGCTTATTATCATTACAAACAAATTAGTACGTACGATATAATTAACATGCTGGTTGGTAAATTTTAATAAATAATCAAGTTTTTATATAATTGGTACATAAGGGCTGGATATTTGTATGCGTTTACCATTTTTAACTGAACCTTAAAGCTTCAAATGTAATTTTAAATATAAAAAAAATCAACAGATAACCAACTTGACATAACGAAATGAAATGTTTTTTACATGTATTAACAGGTTTTTATTTTTTTTTTTTTTTCACTATTCAAATAATTACAAAAGTCAATGAAAAGGCATACAAATACAAACATCGAAACCCATGAAAACATAGAATTCATAGTATAATAAAAAAATAGATTCTGAGTTGCGGATAACCCACGTCTATGAACTTGTACATTAAACAATTATTCTAAAAACTCACGGCATAATACATTAAGATTACGAGTCATCTTTGATCGTACGGTATTATCAGTAATTCCGGTCTTGAAAGTTTTTGTAATAATTTTCCGGAAATACGAGAATATCGAGATTACCCTAATTTTACAAATAATTAATTGGACGATTGAAAAATTTTCAGTTAAAAGCCGCTGTATTATGTTAAAAAAACAATCATGTTAATGCGACAATTTAAAATATGGCGTTTAAAGCCGAATTGCCACAACGCAATCACAAACACACGAGTTTACACGACGAGCTAGGCTTGACCGAGTTTAAAAAAAAAGATTTTGCATTTTTGCCTCTTACTCTCGCTTTTGCATCCAACGTGTGCATCCGACATTGAACGCAAAAATGCGGATTATCACGCATATTATACTATTATAATTATATTAAGGGGGGGGGGGAGGACTAAAAATATATAATATACATGCTACACCCTAACTAAGATAAGTCTCGAGGGGTAAAAGGGAAAAAATTAATGTACAACGAAGTTTCATTACAAATACAAGTTCGCGCAATACAATAACGTGTATAATAAGTATGTATGTTTGTATATACCCACCGTAACGAATGAATCGAATTATCGAACGAGGAAAAAACAATAATTGTAATATATATATATATATATATATATATATATATATAAAAACACACACACCACACACACACAGAGAGAGAGATTTGGTACTTCTACTTTTGTCTGATGGCCCTCTGCGCGGCGCATTCTGGTGTCTCTCGTTAATGTCTTGTTTGTTTTATGTTACACACAACGGCGATTTAACGTGATTATTATTCATGCTTCAATCGTCAGTGTCTTTTTTATAAATTGTAGCGTCGAATCAGCAGCAGCATGCGGTAGCAACGACCACAACAACGACGACGACGACGACGACGACGCGTAATTTTCATTTTATAAGTAGCCGCAGCAGAGTTCGTGCTGTGCGCCTGTATGATCTTCGGCTCTGACTTGGATCTTTGTATAAAAATAGAAGTCGCTTTCAAAATAAACTAGCTCTATGATGAGGAACGATTTGTAGAAGAAGTATTCGCAGTTGATGTAGTAATATTTGTAGGAGTTGTAGCAGTAGATGACGAGGAGCATGATAATGTTGACGAGGTAATTGAATCATCCCGGACTCGGGGTCTCGAGACTCTGGATCGAGGCGGCGAGGCGCCGGTGGAGGCACGGCCATGAGGCGCTGCAGCTGCGTCGCGCACACCGGAACTTTTGCTCGAGACGGCCGCCGTGAGTTTTTAGGCAATTCATGATGGCCTGCGAAAGTTAATGAATCAATACCATATTTTTTTTTCCACGGAGATACTTTCGTAAAGGAAAGTATAGTTACCATAACTTGCTGATGCTCGGTGGGAGTCGCTTCTTCTTCGGGTTGAATGATGACCGGTTCATCCACGTCTGTGAAATCAACAATGAGTTAAAATTAAATGCTTTCCACAAATTAGGTAAAAACAAAAATGTCAAAAGAAACAACGTACCTTGGGCAGGACGATGCGCAGGCCTCGCGTTCTCGACAAAGAACATGTCAGACGACCGCCAAGGTGATCCGTATGGCTGGAGCCTGTCAAGGTTGCGTGCCGAGGGCATCGGGCCGAAGAGCGACGGTGCCCTGACGGGCGGCGCGTGCACGGCCACGGCTATCTGTCTCGGATTCTCGACGTACATGACTTGCTCGGACGATGCCCAGGGGTTGTTGTAGGGCGCCCGTCTCTCGTGTCCTCGGGCGACGGGGCTATTGCGGTGGGGTAGCCAAAAGCGTTGGGCGTTGCTGATGCGCCTGATCGGCTCGAGGCCGGGACTCCCGTTGCTCTCCGGATTTCCGCGCCAGCTGCCATCGTTGTAGTTCGAGTGCCACATCGAGGCCGAGCGCGGAGTGATGCGCTGTTGTTGCTGCTGCTGCTGCTGTTGTTGTTGCTCGTTACGCAACGAGGTGCCATTGGGTGGTGGACCTACCTGAGATTGATTTGTTAGTAGGCCCGAGGTCGCTGTGGATGGGTACGCCGAGCTGTTGTTGTTCATGCCGCGGCCGCCGTGTTGCCGGCGCATGAACACTGGCATCTGGCCGCCCATCTGGCCTGACGCGCTTGACGTCGTCGTCGTCGTCGCCGCTGAAGGCAGAAATCGGTGGTGGTAAGTACGGGTCGAGGCGGACCGAGGTGGTGGTGCAGAGTCTAATTTCAACATCGTAACAACAACAATGAGCGTTAGTTGATGATTGAAATATGCCTTTGGTTTCGTTTTGTCACGCACTCTGATTGCAGTTGATCGCAAAAAAAAAGAAAATTTTGAAATACACGAGAACGACACACAATTTGTATGGAAAATTATTGTGTAAACAAAATTTTTCCGTTTTGTCACTCTTTTCACATGTTGTGCCGTTTTTGTATATTTAATTTTTTTTTTTTTTTTTTTTGCGTAATCCCGTCTCTATTATTATCACTCATATTATCGACGCTTCGGGAAAAGAAAGTGCTGCTTAAACATTTTTCATTCAATCTTATACATCGACAACAAAGTATCATCCTGAGAGTAAGAAGACTGATTATTTTTTCAACACTAAACTAAGAAATTCAGAAAAAAAATTTTCTTAAAAAATTTTAAATTGCACTCTTTTTTCTCGAGCCATCGATATTGACACTTATTACTGACTCCACCAGCTCCCAACACAATAATAATAATTGAAAAAAACTTTTTAAAATAACACTTAAAACACTCGAATAGACCAACACTTTGAAAGAGTGACACTTACAAGGCGCCACGTTAAGGCTTCTCTCTGCCTGGTGAACGGGCAGGCACATAGAGCAGCTGGCTTCGTCGAGGGCGCAATGATTCCAATGACTGATGATGTCCTTTGTGGGACCACAGCAATTGAGGCCGATCTGACAGGTGGCCGCGTGATTGATGAGATTCTTCGTGTCCCGGCAGAACGGCACCGGGCACATCATCATCACCTCGTTGGCCTCGTTGACGCTGTTCTCGCGCTCCAGGCACTTGTAGGCGTGAGCCAGCTGCTTGATCGACTCCGGAGCAATGCTGTTCAGGTCCAAGGTACCGCCTGTGACACGAAACCCGCGTGAGATAGCGATCACTAACGATAACGTTACACGTTCACTCGCAGACGTACCGATTAACTGGCCGGGCTGCGTCGGCTGTCCTCGGTGAGCGAAGCCGTAAAGAGCGGGTCCATTGGCTCCCGAGCCCATCATACCGGGCATGCCACCAGGCAACGTGGCCACCGGTGCCGAGGACTCATTGTTGCCGTGCAAACTGCGCATGTTGCCAGCGTTGGCGTTGTTGTTATTGCTGTTGTTGCTGTTGCCGTTGTTGTTACCACTACTATTGGACGGGCCACCCGAGAACGGGTAAGCGATGCCGAGCTGCTCGTACGTGCGCCGGATGTCCGACGGGTTAATGAACTGTAGGCTGTTCGGGTTCACGTGGTTCGCTGAAAGTTTTGATTTTGTTTGCGTAATTATTTTTTTAGAGCATGCATTGGTGTTTTTTTGTTTATTTACAACCACTTACATCGCTCCTTGACGATGATATGACACCGTTTAGCCATCAAATCGTAATACTGCGTCACAGAGTTGGCGTTTCGGAAAACCTCGTTCTCAACACTCGTCGCGATGCAGATGCTCTGGTGCATGCGGTTTTCCGGGATTCCACCCTGGGGATCCGGAATCGTCACGAGCATTTGGGCCCTGAAAATCGTTTGTTTTATTCCTCTTACTATGATTCATTTCTAAATATTTTCGGCTTACGTTTTTTTTTTTTTTTAACGATACTCTAAATTCTATAAAAATCATTAATTATCATACGTAACCGATAACGTTAATTGTTCCACGAACGCGTACAGATAACTGTAGCCAATTAGGCGCAAAGCAATAAGTCACACTATCACCACTCACATCTTACGAATAAGTCGATTCCGAATATTGAAGGTAACAGACTTGTGCCACTCCTTGGATTGTATCCGGCCAGGCATCTGGGAGTTCATGATACTGCTGTTCTCCGACAGTACCCCTGGGCCGGCGTCGCTGAGTCCGAACCGCTGCTGTTGCTGCTGCGAGCCCATGGACGCCAAGGCCGAGGGTATGAACTGATTCATGGGCGGCGACATGAGGCTGTTCATCGAGTGCAGCAGATTGGACGCGAGCACCTGGTCACTCGACATGAACGGCCCTGGTTCACCGGGAAAACCTTCATTTTTCATTAAATTATTGCTGTCTCATTGACAAACAAAGAGCTTTGCGGAGCTTTTCGACTCACCGATTTGCAAGCTGTTACCGGCCAACTGGTCATGGACCATTGATCGAGGTCCCAGCTGTCTACCGTTGAACGCCTCGAACTGCTGAGGCCGAGCCGAGCCCATCGAACTCGTCACGGGTATCCGCATGCCACCGCCACCACCAACCACCGACTCGTCGGGGAACAAGTTGCCGGACGTCATCGAGTGAGCTATGCTCGCTTGGGACACGGACTCACCGAAATTGTTCGGCCCGTAATTCTGGGACATGTTGACGAGCGTCATGTTGTTGGCGGCCGAAGCCGAGGTCGTACTGCTCGACGGAGGAAATTGACTAGACATCGCGGGGAAGCCTGTTTCGAGGAAGAAAGACGTAAAAAACACATAATACACATATACGATCAAACGGAAGTAAAAAAAAAAAAAAAAAAAGGGAGAAAACGGGCGTACCGTATCCCGACTGGATTTTATGAATTTCCTCCTTCAATATGTTGAAGTACTGGGCACGGGAGGCCGCTATCTTGAAAGCCTTGCCTTCGATCTTTTTAGCTGCCGCTATCCACTTTGGCGAACGGCTGTCCGAATTCTCGCCATTGCGGGTGTGGTGCAGCAACGCCTGGGATCTAAACACAAACCACAGGGGGAGGGGGGGGGGTCAGATACAACGACACACTTATTACATACACGTGTTTCATTGTCATACACCTTAAGTTACAGGTCTTTATTCAATTTTTCAAAGCGAAGCCCCATTACACATCGCATTCATGTTTGTCTTTTCCAACGTTCGCGCGTATCGATTAACGATTACATCGCCCCTACGCCGACTCGAGGCACACGCCCGCGTATTATACATATTCCACCCTTGATTTGCGCTTCTCCGAGGATACCGATACTACACCGACCCGGCAAAATATAATAACAAATTCCCAAGGCATGCACCGGAGACACAAAAGCAATAATACGGATACTATTCCCAAACGAAGACTCACATCTTGTGTACGAAGCGATTCCGGCTGTCGGCCGGGATCACGTGGCGCCAGTCGATGCCTGCCAGCTGGTTGAACTCGGCCGAGTGCACGGGGTTGAGGGCCAGGTTGCCGCCCATCGGCATCGCGGCCATGTTCATGTCCACCTCGCGGTCCTGCGTCGCCACGAAGAACGGCACCATGCTAGCGCGGGCATCTGTAAAACATTTTATTCATTCTTATTTCTTCATTCTTTTTTTCATTTTTTTTCTTTGCATGCATGGGTATATAAATATACTATACCCATGCATGAATATTACATGTTAATTACGCCGATATTGGGTTATTGTTGCGCGGTACCTGTACATTCGTACAAGGGGGAGGGTAGAAGATGATTATCGTGCACGGGGGTGGGTCGGGGGAAGGAGGGATATTGAAAAATTGGCGCTTGACATATTAATGCAGGTAAAAAGAGAGTGTACGCTCACTTTACTTGTGCATTGGGACGATGAGTTAATCTTTAAAACGCGGAGAGGAGGGGAGGGGGGGGAGGCGCGCGACTTCTGTTTCTATTATTATATATCGGCTTTAAAAAGAGTATCGCGCACTGTATACGTGTATACGTTGGGGTATACGCGCGTTTGGTATTTACGCACGCCGCGTGATTCAGGTCAGAGTTATCTGTGTGTGTCGCAATCTTTCTTTTTTTCCCTCCCCCTCCCCCCCACCTCTTCTTTCTTATTTCTTCTTTTCTTCTTTCATGCACGTTTGGACCATGTGTCATTGTGTGTGTATGAGGGGGGGGGGGGTACTTAATGTAACACGAGAAATGAAGTCGCGTGCACTTTTGATGGTTTATTTTTAAGGTTCGAGTGAAGCGAGTCGCGGTCGAGTTCATTTGTCGCCTGTGTATCAACGACATTTTAATACTTTGACCCGAAAGTCGAAGGAGAGAAGCTGCATCATTGGATCCCGAAGAGAGCACCAGAGCAACTACATAGTTTTTTTCCCCCCCCCCCTTCAAGGATGAACGAGTCACACTTTAATAAACAATGCGCGTTTCCGATTGAATTTTTTACAATGCCTATTATAATTAATATACACATTACCTCTATGTACAGTTGTTTGCTCTATTTCGGTTCGACGATGAAAAAATTATTCAAAGAGCTCCGACGCTCATCATATACATGCGTGATGAATTAATGCAATTATTGTTAACAAAATTTGGATTATAAATTGAACGAAAAGAGAAATGACTATAGTAGTATTTTATATATATATAAAACATATGTGTTGGCTTCCGTTCCAAGAGGCATCACCATATCCTTGCCCTCCGAAAAGAAGAAAGGAGATGAAAAAAAGAGTACCTGTAGCGTGAAAATCGGCGTACAAAAACATCACAATCGAGCCCAAATAATAAGCGTTTCTCCGAAGTAGGGGTCCCCTAATTTACCGGTGCGCTATTAAAAGCCATCTCGGGCGAATAAATCCCTCTAAAACGCGCAAAAAAAAAAAAAAAAAAAAAAAATGAAATAGGGAACCCTCGAAGAAATCTCTTCTCTGTGATGTATATACGTTGCACACCGTTCGGGCTCCGAAGATCCGTCACCGCAAAAGTGGACCATAATACCTATGCAAGCGCGTCCAAATGGGGCCCCTTTTTTTCGTGCGCGGGGGCATACAAAGCTCGGTAGTTCGAAGAAACCTCTTAAAAACCCAACTTCGTAGGACGTATGTAAGTATATACGAACGTCAAAAAGCCCGGCCGCCGCGTTTCTCTATACACAGAAGAGAACGAAAAAAAAAAAAAAAAAAAAAACAGATAGAGAGAGGAAAAAGGTATACACAGCAGTGACGTAGTTATATGCACTAGTAGCTCTCTACCGTACACACACGCACGCAGATGTAAAAGTCGAGGAAGAAAGAGGAAACGGGGGAAATGAATAAAAAAAAAAAAAAAAGGAAAAAACTTGTGCCCTTGTGAGTGCGTCGATCGATCACCTATTTAGAAGTCCTATAGGTATGGCCTTCTCCTTCACCATCGTCGCCTGGGCAAGCGAGCTCAAGAGAGTATACGGCTCAACCTCAATCTCTCGTGCCACACGAAACTGCGCACTTTTAAGGGCCACTGCTCCGAAATGTCTCTGTTCAGATGGGAGCAGGGACGTACACCCATATACATATATGTATATACATATATCTATGTATTGGTAGTATGCAAAAAAATCAAATTTGCGCGTGTCTTTTGAGCACCAAGTTTTTTAGGTGATGCAAAAACAGAAGAAGACAAAGATACACGGCGAACCAGATGTCTGTGCACAGCTAGAGTATACGTGCAGTGACTCCCTTCCGTGCAGCAGACAGCGTCGATCGATACACGTTCTGCACGTAGTGTATATATGTGCGAAAACGTGCGTGCTCGGCACGAGCATCAGAGGGAGGAAAAGAGCTAAAGAGAGAGAACACGATATATAGGTATATACACGCTCCACTGGGTGATGGAGCGTGTAAGTGCAATGCCAATGCGGGGGTGCGCGCAAAAGCGAGCAGTATATAGAGCACACCCGCCTCCTCGAGCAACGCCGTCCACGAGGACTGACAGATTTCTCTCTCTCTCTCTCTCTCTTTATCCTCCATGTGCATGTATGTGTGTGTGTGTGTGTGTGTGTGTGTGTGCGTAGGCGTCCGAGTTTGCGCAGAGCTACTCCGATGTTTCCTCTCTCTTGCTCTCCATCCGCCACACACCGCACCATCTCCCATCCTCTCCCATGTCTATCATTTCCCCTAAAAAAGCCCGAGAGACAGAGACGACTAGACATTATATAGCGAGAGAGATCGGTAATGCCCCCTCACACACACACACACATAAGTACCCACTAGCGAGTAGCGAGCTAGCGTCCACGCTCGAATACCCGCAAGCCAGAGATCCATATAATACCTATACTAGTATCTCGCTCGCTCTTATCGGACATATATATATATATATATATATGTGTGTGTGTACGAGATCTATGCATATACACAAACGCTGCATGCGCGAAGGACATGCAGAGTTCTTCCTCTTCTTTGGGCCCGTTGTTCGATGACTCTCTCTCTACCTCCTTTACCTTTCTTTTCATCCAAACGGAGGAAGAGAGGCCGAGCGATTACGATGATAGAAAAAAAAAGGGAGCAACAGGGACGGGTCTTTTCCTTCCTCCATGCCTGTACACTTGCACAAGGCCAATGGCAAATTAATCCGCGAATCAAGTAATTCTTTTATAAGTATTCCACAGTTCTCAAGCGTAATTTGTACCAATGAGAGCTCTCTTTTTCTCATACATAAATATCTGCACTCGCGGAATCCGATCCCGTCACTGTAGCAGGTATATACAAAGGCGCAACCGGGCGCAACGTACCATTATTCCGTGTTATTATCGCATCGAGTTGGGAAGGGGGGGGGGGAACAAACAAAACAAAACAAAAGAGGAAGAAGAAATAAAGGAATCGTGAGCAGCAACAGTGTTACGGTAGAATAAATGTACCCTTCTTTGAAAAATCGACGCAGTTAAGGGATGAAGAAAGAAAAAAAAAAAAAAGCAACATCCATCAGTCCTCACCCAAAAAACTCGGCGAGCTTGCCTCGGCCAACCTAGGCCTCTTGTAGGCTCCTTGCAGCAAGTACTCCTCCATCCGTGCTCTCGTGTATGGTATATACCTATACGTAGGTATGTACCCTCCACCTCCTCCTCTTCCTTGTCTTCGTCGTCCTCTATATAACTCTCTCTCCCTGTCTCGTTTCTTCTCTCTTGGCTCTAGCCTAGCTCCCCTCCGTGGAAGAGAGAGAAACGGCAGTAGCCAACGTCGCCTTTGCAATGTGTATTATTACTCTATATACGTACACACACATATATGTATTTGTATATATATATAGCACTCAAACACTATACGTACAGGGGGGATCGTACGTAATGTTTCCCGTCTCGCTCGCACGCGAGTAACGGGTAATATATAGATGTATGTATGGATATGGGCTTTTAAATGTCTCGCGCACACGCGTCACTTTAACTCTCAAAAAAAAAAGAAGAAGAAAAACCCGAAGAAGCGCGTATTTATGTGAACATTCTTGTATTATCACAATACTATTATATACATGTGTGTAGGTAGTCTGCAAAGGAAGATAACGAAGGGAGCGTAAAATCGACTCCGATTTTAGGATTTTGTTTATTATGTATGCGACTGCGGAGTTGCGGACGGTCCTTCCACTGTTGCAGTTACGCACATGTATATACATATATGTACAGGCACCTTCTATACCACTAGCTCGTGAAGATAGCTTAGGGGTTGCTGTAGCTGCAGCTGCTGTTGGTGCCTTGTGCGCCCGCACATTTTTTCACTCTCTTCTGCTGCTTCTTCTTCTTCTTCTTCTTCCGTTTTTACTTCTTTGCCACAACCACGCAGCACACATGTACACGCAGATGCACGAGGGCGAAGAAGAAAAAAATGGAGCTCTGCGGTAATACGTGAAGAAAAGAAGAAATACCTCCTCTTCCGGCCTCCTTTTTTTTCTTACATATATTTAAATCTTATATTTTTCGCGCAAACACTTGCGCACACACACACACACACGCGCACAGCTGCTTCTGCGCGTATACCTATACTAATACCCACATGCACGGTACACAGGTATATAAATATACATATGTAGAGAGAGAGCAATAGCAGCAGACGAGGCGAAAGTGCCAGCTGCTCGCGCTTCTCATACAGTGTGCGTGTGCAACATATATAATGTACACATGCCTTTAATAATCCACGCGCGCACTCAGATCTCTTTTATGTATATTTGCAAGTATGAACAACTGCACACAACACTCACGACACACAGTAACCGATCAACAACAAAACTGAAGCAATGTTTCTTCTTCGATATCGCGCACAATTTGCAAATCACCGCACCAACACCAACCAATTTATGTGATAATCGCACACCTCTACACACTTTTTATTCTTTCTTCAGCGATACAACATATTATCAGCATCAGCAGCGGGGAGCTTCTTCGAGATAAACCAAACGGGCGTAATACTACGCGCAAAAAAGAGTCGAACAATCGACTCCGATCTGCTACCACTGTCGCTGGCCGTCATGCTGGCTAACTCCTTTTTCGTCGTGCAAGTTGTATGCGCTATACTTGGTTACACAGGCGCTCATACTTATTATTGTATATAGAAGCTGATGCTAGACTGACGACTATGACGGGTTTCGTGAGCTGCTATGCAGCTTGTGTTCCTCTTCAATTGCACTTTTATCTCGTTCAATCTCTCTCGCTCTTCTCTTCTTCGACACCCACAACGTCATCCGTCCTCTATGTATAGCATCGTTGAACGATTTTGCTTGCCGATCTTTCGTAATGAACGGACAATACGATACACATACGCATATGTAAGCACAGGTACAACAGATGATAGAGAGGGCCAAGAGTTATACACAACTATTTATTATTTTCGTGCTTTCAATGTGCGCGCACAACACCTTCTGCTGATGACTCCGAAACTCCGAACTGAGCGAGGCGAGCCTGCAGCTCTCTCTCTCTCTCTCTCTCTCTATCGCGCACACATATATTATATTTTATACACATATATACCTCTCCCCTCCACGAAAATATTACTCATTCTTGTATACCGATATACATTGAAGATATAAATATATGCTTTGAAGCGATGATATTACAATGGGTGCTCCACTGCTCCCTCATGCAGGCTTTACATTCAAGTATGTCTGTGTGCGAGCGTATAAAATCGTAAATTTTCAAAGTAGTAACTAGTAACAAAATAGTAGAATACCGCACACGTACGTACAACATTCATACACGTACACAAAAAGCTTTTTATATTATATGTACCGTTCGAAAAGTGGGAGAATGAAGCACAATACTTATGTATGTATACATAATGGTACCACTACCTTGGGCGCAAGCAGCAGAGAGAAAGAGAGGGAAAGGCGCGCTTGCAAGCGCAAGCGAGACGGAGAGCGCGAGGGTATTTATTATGCCAGGGTCTTCCCCTCTGCTGCTTCGCTACAGCCTCTCCTCCCTCTCTCTCTCTATGTATAGGACGAAGAAAAGCTTAGCTCAGATTTAGCTATTTTAAATAACATGGAGAAATCTGAGCTAAGCTTTTCTTCCTCCGGATCGTCGATATGTACATGTATAATCCAAATGCTGTTTTTTTTTTACTCGTTCCTCTCGCCTCTCTTGCACTTTTTTACACGTATAAACTATTGCATAGGTGTATTTATCTACTTGTGCAAAAACACAAAAATCTCTCATCTTTCCTCTTGGCGAATAAGATATTATTTACGCCGAAAGAACGTGACGAGCGTTCGAAAGACGGTTTTTCAGATTAGATAAACGTCAACCGCCAACACTCGCTTATAAGTACTTACATACGAACTTTCATGAGGCACTAGGTACATACGTAAGTTCCTCTTTTCAATAATCTTTCGTTGTTTATCATTTCTCCGTAGCGATGAACAAACTGTTAGTTTTTGTTATCCATGTGGGGGGGGGAGAAAAAAAAAATCAGAGCAGAGGGACCCACAGGTGTATTTTTTCGATAATTATGCGCGCATACGTGTAATACACCAATACACATGGTCGGTTTGTTTTGAAAAGAGTGTAATAAATAATAAAGTGAGTGGCAGCACGTTGACAACTGAATAACTGACCGAGTGTTTGCCGAGCTGAAAAAGAGAGAGAAGGGGGAGACAAACAAAGCCACGATGTTGTGTAAAACACTGTTTTGTTATCTCGTATTAATTAATTTAGCGCGCGGATGACAATCTTCCGAAAGCCAATCGTCGTCGAGAGCGTGAATAATTATACGGTTGCACCGATTTTAATTTTTTTTTTTTTTTTTTTTTTTTTTTTTTCAACAGTTCGCAGTAGTTTTGCCCGCTGTCGCTGCTGTTCCGCGAGATTAAAAAAAAAAGGTGAATAATAGAAGAATAGATGCGCTCACAATGCGTTTATACACACGTGTCTTTCGTAAGAAAAGTTGATAGCTTCTCACTTAACGGCTCAATAAAAATGTCATTAGGTATACTTACCTCACGATTTGCCTCGAATGTCTATTATTCACAAAAGGTCGATTAATATGTTGTAAATAGGTACACGTTATCTTCATCCTCGGAAAACGATTGTACTTTTTTCACATCATCAACAGCAGAGTTCTTAGTGGAAATTTTGACTCTTTTTACAAAAAGACACCCACCCCTTGTGAAACGGGGAATTTCAGGGATGCTCACTCCATATATATTATTATGTTCGTCTGGGGGAAGGGGGGCAATGACTATAAGGATGCTCAAAAAGTGCCCTGAAGGAGTTTCTTTTTTCAAGAAGGATCTGTATGGATCTCGAGTACTGTACTAACGATGTATATAATATGTACTATAAGTACCGATCACCTGCACCGTTCGTACGTTTTTAAAAGGCATCTCTTCGTCTGGTTGTCCTAAAATCTGTCTCGTTATATCGAAAACGATAACATTATACCCGTGGTAGGAACGACAGATAACAACATTTTAAATAAACCAATGTAATAAATTTTTGATTGGTCGATAGTATGGGGTAAACGCTTTCGGCATTTTCACTTGAAAAAAAAAAAAAAAAAAAAAAAAAAAAAAAAAAAAAAAAAAAAAAAAAAAAAAAAAAAAAAAAAANAATGTTCACAATCAATGAAAACATGTGACGCGCACGCGTGTGTAGACTTTATCCGTGTATATACACGTTGGACGAATGTATTAATATAGGTGTCGAAGAAATCCCGAAAAATCCTTGTGTCCCTTTGAAAACCCTGTACCCGTGTATGTGATACAAATATACAAGTAACCTACAGCTGTGAGCCCGCGTAACTTTTTTATGCCATAAGCGAGCGTGTGGGTGCACATATACATTTACAGGATTAATTATAAATACGGCTACCTCAATTAAACATACGCGAAAACGGTTTATTATCTTTAATCGCTATACGCCCCGTAGGGGGGGGGGGTTGGTGTATATACGCATACGCGTACACGCGCGTGGGAAGAGTCGCGCTAATAGCGCTCGCACTCTCGCTATGTAGCTTAATGTGTATACATGTATATTGTGTGTGTATACGTGTATTAAACATGTATTGTGCGCGGGAGATATAGGTATATATAATATACGCTAAAATTAGAAAAGAAACGAGTGCTTTTTGGATTACGGTTTCTGGTATACGTATGCGTAGGTATACAATACTTATGTGTGAGAAAAACAAAACGATGATGGGAGATGATGTATACTCCCCCCCTCCGCTCGTTACTCCGCGAAGGAAGTTTTGGCACGCGATGGAAACTGTACATAATATATAATATGATGTGACTTTCTCCGCTGTTTGAGAAAGCTGTGAAAAAGAAGGAAAGAAAGAAAGAAAAATGTAATTTCGGATTGGGGCGGGGCATTGATTGACCGGTGTTTCGAGATTTGCACCACAGGAAGTGATTTAATGCATCCTACGGGATGGGTACCTACAATGTATATATATATATATATATTATGTACACTTGGTACGTAAAATCTACAGCTGAACAATATCGCGAAGACTATAGGGGGGGGGGTTACGATTTTTTGCAAAATTCAAGGATGAATGAGGAGGGGGGGCGATGAGTACCATACATATATGTACTTCGTACCCGAGAGCAAGATCTCCGCGCCGATCTGCAGACGGGAGAGAGAAAGAGAGGGACTCGTTAGTGGGGGGGGGGGGACTCCACGAAAATATTACTCATTCTTGTATACCGATATACATTGAAGATATAAATATATGCTTTGAAGCGATGATATTACAATGGGTGCTCCACTGCTCCCTCATGCAGGCTTTACATTCAAGTATGTCTGTGTGCGAGCGTATAAAATCGTAAATTTTCAAAGTAGTAACTAGTAACAAAATAGTAGAATACCGCACACGTACGTACAACATTCATACACGTACACAAAAAGCTTTTTATATTATATGTACCGTTCGAAAAGTGGGAGAATGAAGCACAATACTTATGTATGTATACATAATGGTACCACTACCTTGGGCGCAAGCAGCAGAGAGAAAGAGAGGGAAAGGCGCGCTTGCAAGCGCAAGCGAGACGGAGAGCGCGAGGGTATTTATTATGCCAGGGTCTTCCCCTCTGCTGCTTCGCTACAGCCTCTCCTCCCTCTCTCTCTCTATGTATAGGACGAAGAAAAGCTTAGCTCAGATTTAGCTATTTTAAATAACATGGAGAAATCTGAGCTAAGCTTTTCTTCCTCCGGATCGTCGATATGTACATGTATAATCCAAATGCTGTTTTTTTTTTACTCGTTCCTCTCGCCTCTCTTGCACTTTTTTACACGTATAAACTATTGCATAGGTGTATTTATCTACTTGTGCAAAAACACAAAAATCTCTCATCTTTCCTCTTGGCGAATAAGATATTATTTACGCCGAAAGAACGTGACGAGCGTTCGAAAGACGGTTTTTCAGATTAGATAAACGTCAACCGCCAACACTCGCTTATAAGTACTTACATACGAACTTTCATGAGGCACTAGGTACATACGTAAGTTCCTCTTTTCAATAATCTTTCGTTGTTTATCATTTCTCCGTAGCGATGAACAAACTGTTAGTTTTTGTTATCCATGTGGGGGGGGGAGAAAAAAAAAATCAGAGCAGAGGGACCCACAGGTGTATTTTTTCGATAATTATGCGCGCATACGTGTAATACACCAATACACATGGTCGGTTTGTTTTGAAAAGAGTGTAATAAATAATAAAGTGAGTGGCAGCACGTTGACAACTGAATAACTGACCGAGTGTTTGCCGAGCTGAAAAAGAGAGAGAAGGGGGAGACAAACAAAGCCACGATGTTGTGTAAAACACTGTTTTGTTATCTCGTATTAATTAATTTAGCGCGCGGATGACAATCTTCCGAAAGCCAATCGTCGTCGAGAGCGTGAATAATTATACGGTTGCACCGATTTTAATTTTTTTTTTTTTTTTTTTTTTTTTTTTTTTTTTTTCTTTTGTCC